CCACAAGCTTGCCTCATTTATAACGTTTTCTCTTAATTTTTAGAGTTTCTGAAAAACTGGTTTTACAGAAAATTGAGTCTTCAAGAGCCATCAGCAAAAATTCGGAAATCTGCAGTTATAACTTTATTCTGCGCTGCAAGGCGGTTCGAATACTGTGTTAAACAAGGCTTCATCTCTTAAGGCAAGAGACTTGATGCTTTTTCGAGCGAATGGTCTCGTTTTTGGGTTCTCTTAGAAATGAATTTTTTGCAAAGGCTATGAGCGATGTGGAGAAGTTCAAAGTCACTTTTTCATATGCAGTTTGTCACGCTGATTCAGAAAAGCTCTGTTTCAAAACTCCAAAATTTAACTAGAAAAAACAACAAGCAAAACATCTGAAGTATAGGTTTTTCCGATTTTCGGATACTTCTCAGTATTTGGCAATTTTCATCGAGAAGGAAAGGTCGTAAAGCAAAATAGATGTGATATTCGGATTAAGCTCGATTTCCTCTATCAGAATATGTCTGTTAAAGTCAAAAAGAAAATAGTGCTTAAACTTTGAATTACGGGCGCCTTAACAATACATTGTTTGTCGCAATGAATATTCATTTGCTCATTCACTGCTCTTCATCCAAATAATCAATCAGTCAAAAGAAAATCCCTGTACAAGAGAGTTGCTAACTGGAATATATTTTTATGTAGTCAACGGATAGTAAATCCTCGGCAGCAAAAATTATCCTTTTCCGTGAAAAAAACTAATTAAAATAGAAAAGTAACTCGTGTACTCGTAAAAAATGTTATCTCTTTTATGTGCGACTGTAAGGCAAACGTAAGCGATTCAAAATATCTAATTTTTAGTGACTAATGTGTAAATATTTTGACTTTTTTGGGCATCGATAGGAGTGATTAAAATTGAAAAGATACCGAGATTGACTCGCAATAGCAACTATCTGATTATTTATCAAATCTTGTTTCCTTTTTCTTTGTTAGAACTAATATATTTTAAAATGAATATTATATTTCATTCTGACCCTTTTTCAGAGCCTGTCCTTTGCTCTAAGTAAATTTTTTTTTGTCTATTAACAGAATTTCAATAAAGCCGGTTTTTGTGTAGTGGCCATTCTCATTTGAGGCTCAAAACTTACAAGTACTAAATGAAAATCATAGGCTTACGCAGATTACGTATGCACATGGGTATTGTGCATAAAGGTATTGTTTGAAATAATTGAAATACTTTTGAAATAATAAAAGAACTTGTCATTGAAGGGTCATTCTAATCCTTGTTTCAGCGAAAGCGAGTTTCTATGTTTTTCAACTTTAGGTATAACAATTTCTAGCACAAGTGCTTTATTGGAGTATTCCTGACCTTCAAAGTATGTTAATAAGTAATCAGATATGGCAAATTCAGTGGATCTCTAATCTTGATTTCTAGAGATTCTCCAGAGATCTGCAAAGGATCTTCAGAACTGTTTTTTGTTGAAATATTGAATTTATGGGCTGACAAGCCTTATTGATAGGTAATTGACTTCAAGACTGCTTTTGAACTTTAAAGAGGTTTCTTCAGAGATCTCTACAGGAATCTCTAAAAAATCACCAGAAAACCTTTTTGGAAGCATAACTTTTACAGGTTAAAGAAATGAACAATATTAAATGATAGTCGATATGTACATTTTATTGTAGATGAATGATGATTCTAGCCTTTCCGATACTGACACACGTTCAGTATTAAAAGTACAATAAACTTCTACATTCATGATCGTTACAACATACAAAACCAGGCTCATTTATTCTTCTTTTCCAATAAACGGGTCTTCGCGGTAATGTCGTGTCGCGTTGGAAAAAAGAGAAAAAGAGGTATTTCTGATTCTGACAGCCTCAATCTCTATCAGAATCTGGTTTAGAAACAACTATACAGCGTGCAGAACCACGACATTTATCAAAATCAGCGCAAAAAACTATCAAGCTGAATAAATAGGTGGATTTGTAGTAAAAAGTTTCGAAAAAATGCTTTTCTGTCTACAGACACAAATACTATAGTTTTTCTTATATAATTATATACGTTAGAGCTCTATCAACACGAGTTAGTAATAAAACAGCACAAATATTTGAAATAATTCATTTAGAAGAAATATTAATAATGTCGATATTTGTAACAGAAGAAGATTGAAATTTGTATGTGATTTTGAAATTGCTTATGGTTTATCCAACAGAACGGGTTATTATGCACAAAATGTGACCAAATAACAACATTAACTAATTTTCCTACAACAGAACCATTTGAATATAGTTTTCAAGAACTCAAAAAACGAATATACATAGCTTTTGCTATATCTGGTGTTGGTTTAATTCAATCAATTATCCAATGTCCAAGTTATGTTTATCTGTTATACACCGTTCTCGTTTTATAGTACGAGTACATAATGCACATAATTCCTTACATAATTATACTCCGAAGTATATGAAAAGTATAATAGATGATATAAAAAATCAAGAAAATATTTATGATGAAGATTCTATTGTAAATATCACGGTTTCATTGGATGGCATGTGAAAAAAAACGAGGACATATTTCATCGTATGCTATTGTTTTTATTGTTCATTACGTGAAGATCTTACGAAAGAAAATCTAAATTTATTACGACGTTGTATTGAGCTTCGTCCATCTGTTAGCTTCTTTACAAAAGATGGTAGTATGTACTACTATCAAAATAATCAACAGATTTTTATCCGGTCAGAAAGTGCCATTGAAACAGTTCCACGAAGCAAGATCAAAGCATTTATCTAATTTAATGGCATCATAGAAAAACATAGCAAGAGCGCGAAGTTTCAAGCCCTTGGTTCCTTCACACGTACTTAGTAACTGCTACTGAAGAGGTTCTGTTGCCAGCCAGAATCAATTTTGTTGCTGAGAAAGTCGAACTTGATAAGAATACTAATAAGTACACTATATATCTTACTATTTAAGTTCGAATTGGCTAACACTAGACTTTATGCTTTGGTGTTCTTGGTGTTTTGCTCACATATGCATGGGAGTAACATTGGGTGTCTGCGAGAATGAAGCAAGTGATCAGCGGAAGATCCTGATCTTTTAAAAATTAGTGATTTTAAGACGTTCTGTAGTGCATTCGGTCTTTCGCTAGAGAAGAGAGGTATGGGCGATCTTAGCAGAGCTTGTTCTGTGATATTTTCAACATTAGCATTGCACTTACACAGCAGGAAATCTGCAAAAGTTTCGGACGCGTTTAAACGCGTCAATTGAAAAATTTATCTTTATCACGCGTTTTCCCGTTAGACAACGTCGAGGCGTTTAAGGCGTTGAAAACGTTAGCAGTTCCACCGCATTTAAAATGCATTTATTTTTACCAGTTTCAATTGAAAATCGTGATTTTTGACGCGTTGAAACCGTTTTCCACGTTTCTCCAACGCGTCGTAAGCAATTTTAAATGTTCTTTTCGAAAAATAAACGCGCTTAAATGCGGTGGAACTGCTAACGTTTTCAACGCGTTAAAAAAGTTCGACGTTGTCTGGGCGAAAAACGCGTGGTAATGATACATATTTCAATTGACGTTTAAGCGCGTCGAAAACTTTTGCAAATTTCCTGCTGTGTAACTAACAGCGATTTTAATGAATATCTAGAGAAAAATGCGCTGTATATATATAAAATATATCGCTGAATTACGATCATGTGTTGTTCCTGGGAATTGGAAACGAACACTTACAACATTGACAAAAGGTATTTTTTGCAAAATGGATTTCAATGAAATGAATTTTACAAAAATACAACAATTAGATAAGTCCACAGATCGAAAAGAAGATGGGCCACTTTTTATGGGATTTCGGGCACTAAGCGCTGAAAATTAATTTTGAGAAGAGCTACTCAAGTGATCATAAGTAAATCGACGAGACATTCAGTAAATATCAACTCTCAAAACCGAACTGTCTAAAAGTGAATTTTTTCTATTTGGTTTATATCGACTAAAACTTATTTTAAATGTTCATGCAATCAAGGAAAACTGTGCAGTGTTAATGTGTGACTTTGCGAAATTTTATCTGATTCCCAGAATTTAATTCAATACTAGTACATTCTAAACTCTCACAATTACATTTTTTACTTCAGTAAGCTTTTATGTAGAATTTAAGGAGAGATTAAAAAAACTTATGCAAGGAATATCCCATGAGAAAAAAGACGGGCAATAACCTGCTCATTAACTGTCAGTTTACAGCCTGCCCAAAAACTGCCAGTTGACAACCTGTTAACTGTCTTGTTTATTGGCCGTTTTTACACAGTAGTTTCTTAAGACCTAAAAACGACCAATAAATCAGACAGTTTTTAGATGTTTTTTAGACAATTAACAGGTTGCAAACTGACGGTTTATAGACCATTTCTTTTCTGTGGTAGTGAGTGGCCATAGGCTCGCTATATTTTTGTTTTTGAAAGAAAAAGCCAGTTAAATGGTTGTAAATAAGCTGTAAATGGGTGATTCGTGGCTGATAGACGACTAGCTGTTTTGACAGTAGCTAGTGCACTATGCCTTTTTGATGTATTAGTGATGTCTGTCAAACGCATTTAAGCTCTTTTTAACAGAAAAAGCAGCGACTTAGAGGTGTTCTTTTGAAGACATCAACGTGGCTAACAGTAAAAAGATGAGAGAACGCACTGTGGATGCATTTTGAAGACAACCGAGTGTTTTATAAGAGATTTTTTTGACAGTGAATTATTTCTAATAAGCACTTTTTAAGCCATTTTGCGTTAAACAATCAACATAAAAGCATTATCGCTACATTCCATCTAAATCGATCTTCGATATAAATGAGCTAAGAAAACTTAATGAAACAAGATAAAAAATTCTCATATCTGTGCTTTTTAATAAAAATGATTATGCGTGATGTTTACTCATCAATCTTTTCTCGAAAAGACACTTCAAATAATAAATAATAAAAAGAGGAAAATTTTGAGCTTTTTCAATCAGTTTTCAAATATACAAAAGAATAAGATGGTTGGTATATCAAATTGTGAAAATGATAAAGAGTAAATAATAGTATTTTTACATAGAAGTTTGTCACATTTCGAATGTTTTAGTGAACAAAATTGTTATGAATTAGAATTTAATGAATGTAACGTTGACACAAAATTTCGTTGTACAAATGGAATGTGTATTGATAAAACATTTTCATTTGATCGTTCATTTGACTGTATGGATAGAAGTGATGAAAAAGAAGGCTTTTACACAGATGCAATGGAAGATACACAATGTTTTAATCAACCATCAATTTTATGCGAAGAATTTTGTCGGACGAAAGTGTCGGACGCTCAAATGTCGGGGTCGCTCAAATGTCGGGCGCTCAAATGTCGGGTGCTCAAATGTCGGCGCTCAAACGTCGGTTGACGTACATTTTTAATACTTTCGATCACAATGCTAAGATTGATCTGAAACTGAGAAAAATTAATTAGAAGATAGATACCAAATTTAGAATCTGTGAGGTTCTACTCACTCACTTCTCATGTTTATTTAAGAAAGTGAACGGCTATATATAGTACACAAGTTGAACAACAGTTATGCAAGAGTTGCGCATGAGTTACATAAGAACAGAAATAGTTTAGGAAAATCCCATTATGAAGCAAGAGTTGCGCAATAACAGAAAGAAAGGAAAAGAAGAAGAAAACACAGTCTTATGAGCTGCCAGGAATGGCAGATCATAACAGAATCGATAAAATCTTTTTTTATTATCCTGACTTGTCTTGCAAGTAATCTCTAATCAACGCTATCTTTGTACACGTAATTTAGACGTATCATAGATTCATCCTAATCAGCACTTTAAATCGCTTACTATGCGCAGTAGCACCAGTAGCATTCGGCCATAAAATTGTCAAGCTCAAAGTATTAGCTAAGAACTGTATCGATGAGTTCACATAGCAAGTGTTCCCGAGATTCTGTAAACCACGGAAATGTAAACGACGATCGAATCGAAGTCTGTGCAGCATCTCTAAATCAAATGAAATCGGAACAATTATTCCAAGCGCGACAGAGTAGTATGTATTCATACTTCTATCATCTGTTCCAACAGTTGCAGAGATGCGGTCTCTTGAGTCATTAAAATCATTCAGAAATACATTAGTATCGATTGTTTGTAAAATACTCGAAGAGCTGTCTAATGGAGAAATTAGTACCCTCAATCATAAAAAGCAAAAGCAGAATCTTAATGTCTATTTAAAAGAAAAATTTCATTCACTTGGTGATTTACTCACCCGATACCGTTTCGTCAGAAGCAAATGATAGATCTGGCTTTCGAGTCGGCAGGTCAAAGTCTATCATGGACTCGGTATTCACTTTATTTGCGTTTCCTTTCTGTAAACGTAACTGTGTGCGCAAAGTTGAAGGCTTCTCCTAAAATGTTTAAAATACAAATAACCACAAATAAACAATATAGAAAGAAAGATAACAAGTTCAATTTGCTAAATCAACCCAAAATTCCATTTTCGCCTGCTCTGTTCCATCGATAAATCATCTGAAGACAAGGAGACGCAGTTTCGGCTGACGATTTTGTGGCAATCGACGAAATATTTGGCTCTGTCAGTGTCCTTGTGAAACGGGTTCTTGATGCTCTGGTGCACTTGTAGCGAAAGCTAATTGCGGTATGGAAATGGTCGAACTCGGATTCTTTGGTGGTCGAAAGAGTGAAAGCAAATAGTTTCCGCTGGGCGGAACAGACTGAGAATGTATCGTCAGTGGCTTGTCGTTTTTTTTCAGTGTCATCGGTTTAGGTGGTCGAA